TACATTGAGAGTTAAATGCAGCCAGAGTGCATGTTTATCCTCACTGAAGGTCTAACATTGGCGCACCTCGTAATGCTCAGTTGTGAAAGTGTTTACATTGAGAGTTGAATGCAGCCAGAGTGCATGTTTATCCTCACTGAAGGTCTAACATTGGCGCACCTCGTAATGCTCAGCTGTGATAGTGTTTACATTGAGAGTTGAATGCAGCCAGAGTGCATCCTCACTCAAGGTCTAACATTGGCGCACCTCGTAATGCTCAGCTGTGATAGTGTTTACATTGAGAGTAAAATGCAGCCAGAGTGCATGTTTATCCTCACTGAAGGTCTAACGTTGGCGCACCTCGTAATGCTCAGTTGTGATTGTGTTTACATTGAGAGTAAAATGCAGCCAGAGTGCATGTTTATTCTCTCTGAAGGTCTAACATTGGCGCACCTCGTAATGCTCAGCTGTGATAGTGTTTACATTGAGAGTAAAATGCAGCCAGAGTGCATGTTTATCCTCACTGAAGGTCTAACATTGGCGCACCTCGTAATGCTCAGCTGTGATAGTGTTTACATTGAGAGTAAAATGCAGCCAGAGTGCATGTTTATCCTCACTGAAGGTCTAACGTTGGCGCACCTCGTAATGCTCAGTTGTGATTGTGTTTACATTGAGAGTAAAATGCAGCCAGAGTGCATGTTTATTCTCTCTGAAGGTCTAACATTGGCGCACCTCGTAATGCTCAGCTGTGAAATGCAGCCAGATTGGAGAATGCAAGTTTGCCCTCGCTGAAGGTCGTCCAGGCTTTGTCGAACATTGGCCACACCTTGCCGTGCCAAATTGACCTCTCCCGTATCAACAATGACGAAGTATTTTTGTAAATTAACTCCATTATTGCGTTTGTCAATACCTTATTATGATAGTATTTTTAGCTTGTTATTACAGTAATGTTATTCTAAGTCTTATAGTTTTATTTATTGGCTCCCATTCAACCCTACCTAGTTAATAGTTTATATTAGATTAAATATGCAATTAATTTATTTAGGCCTATAGATTTTTAAATATTTAATTTTATCAACTTAATCAGGGCGTTTCTTTAATTTTATGATTTTACAGAAATAAATTATTACTTATTTATTAAAATGAACAGCCCGGGGACGGGACTGTAATATTGATTAACTTGGTTTTACAATAACTATAATAACTTACTTGCCATCTTATCCAAAGGCAACACACCAACATTACACTTTGAATGACTCGATTTGGGACTGCTCTGTCTGATAGGTATTGTAAAATCCATGTAGTTGTAGTATTTAGAAAACTCCACGTGACAGTTGGCAGACAACTTTCAATGACTTATGTTCGCGATTAATAATATGATTTTTGATTTTAAGATCAACTAAGAACTAAGACATTTCTATCTGTTAGTGTTTTTAACAATAGATATCTAACCAATATTTTAGATTTATCACCGACGGTCTTCCAGCATTTGAGGTTTTGATGTGAAGGGCGCACATGAAAAGAGCCCAAAAACTCAGGCAGACGCTTGAAAAGCGCCCGGACCTCCAAGGTCCCTCCCAGGACGGTGCGAAAAGAGCCCGGGCTCTTCCTAGAACTTTCACAACGGGTCTTCAAAGGAAAAAGAACCAACAAGTCGATCTTTAATTCATTAATTACCTCCTTCGTCACTAAGACCAGCGATGCCGGATAGGTGTCAATAATATATTATTACTAAAAACAAAAACTTTTCTCTTTAGATCAAATCTTTTATGTCATGGCGATGGATGCACCCACACTTTAAAAAAAATCTTTCAGGCTATAATATGGCCTATATTTTAGCCATGTCTTCAGGGCAGTGCTAAATTTAGGAGGTACATCAATAGTGTAGCATATATGGTTGAAAAGCTTATAAAATGGCGCAGTTTTTAACATATTCGGACACTTTCTTGTATACAGGGTGTGAAAAAATGTACCATAGACTAATTTTTTAAAAATGTTTATCAAACATCTTAATTTTTTTCTTTGAATCTATTTACAATGGAGAAATTGCTGTACAGTATTAAGTTTAAAAACATAGTTATTTTTGAAAAACATAAAATAATTTTTTGGGAAGCTAATTTTTAGACTTGGAACCTTTTAGGCTATATGCATCATCACACTTCATTTACTTTGTACTTAAACAAAAAAACTTTTGTCACACTGAATACCAATCACCCTGTATAAACACACAATTTAAACATTAACTCCCACATCCGATATGACTTTTATGGTGTTTAAACAGAAACTGCAGAGTATGTAAAATTTAGGGGAAAGTAACAATGGTACAACGTACAACTAGGGGTGGGGTGGTTGCAGGCCAAATTCCAGCGTGTGCTCCCGCTATCTCCGCGTTCCGCCACCTCCGAATTCTTGAGTGACCCTTATAATACCGTCACTGCCTGCGTTGGTAGCTGTCATTGCATCCACGGCTGCGAAGGCCCGTGGATGGGAGATTTAATGAAAATTTAACCCGTGGGTTAGGTTAGGTTAGGTTAGTTTAGGACGGAAAGTCTTAACGCAGGTATCAACCGAGGATTATAGGGGTCACTCTGAAATTCGGAGGTGGCGGGACACGGAGGTGGCGGGACGCGGAGATAGCGGGAGGTAACCAATTCCAGTGTCGCTAACGTCACATGAGTCAGCGTCCTCCTCCTCAATACCTGTGGAGACCAGGGCTCTTTCACAGCCACCTCTAATACAGCACTTTCCATGCTTAAGATTAGTGAACCTTTTTGGTGATTAAAATGTCGGGCTCTTTTCATGTGCTCCGGATGTGAACGGTCTGGGGATAATTCCAACCCCTTTTTTACAATCCACGCCGACCTTTTAACAGGTTAGAATTGTTGTAGGCTTGTAGGAGTAGGACACGGCAGTCGGTGGCAAAAAATACCCGAGAAAACAACATTCCACGTTTGTTCAATGGGTGCCAAACAGACGTTTAAATATATCTTGCGACGTCATCATCCCCGCCTACCGCAGTCGGCTATTTAGAGTCACGCGCTTTTGTAGCTTCAATGTTGACTACTGTACTCTATGTTGATGTTTTGAATCACTAACCGATATACATCACTGGCATAACAGACTTTAACTAGTACAGTTAATTAAACTACAGCTGTTGTAGTAAACAGATTGATCTTGTGTGTATTTTTCAGGTTACAAAATCATGTAAACAAATGGATTTATAATTTTGTAATATTTATTTTTTACCGTATTTTTCGTTAAGGCTTATGAATGTATGAACGTAAAACATGTAATGAACTTTACTATCTCAGATATTGAATTGGTTTATGTTAGGTTAAAGATGTGTTGTTTACATTAGTGGTCAACGTGGATAATTACAAGTCGATATGCCAATGACCTCACTTGTCAGACTTATTTTTCCTTCTCCACAAGCAATAACAGTAAGTAGGTCATGACCCAGATATCTCAGGGATGTTGTGATGTCCTCAGGGGGAGAAGGACGTAGGGCGGTGCAGGGTGGGGCGGGGACGAATGAAGGGCATTTCTCAACGCAAATCTTGGTTCTTTTTTTATTTTCGTTAAAATGCTGGAATCAAACTAACTTTGAAATATACTGTAGGCTACTGTAAGTTAGGACTTTTTGTAAATCAAGATTGCACCTTTTTTGATAACCAGGAAGTAAAAGAGGCTGTTTAAACATGGCTTCTAACTCAAAATAAATGTAAATCTTCTAAGTATGGTAATTAAAATTGTGGCTTTCAACATTATCTAGTCATGAGTGTGAATCGGCTTGACACGTTTTAATTTAAAAGGTTGAACAAGACAAACCCTGTTAATTTATCAAATTCACTGAAGTTACTTTATAAGTTAGCATCAAAACATAGCCATGTTTATAAATAAACCTAACCTGTTGATATTCAGCTTAAATTAAAATACAACATTTAAAATATTTAATTTTTTCGAGAGGATTTGCTGCCTCAAATAATTTTATTTTTCCTTCTCCACAAGCAATAACAGTAAGTAGGTCATGACCCAGATATCTCAGGGATGTTGTGATGTCCTCAGGGGGAGAAGGACGTAGGGCGGTGCAGGGTGGGGCGGGGACGAATGAAGGGCATTTCTCAACGCAAATCTTGGTTCTTTTTTTATTTTCGTTAAAATGCTGGAATCAAACTAACTTTGAAATATACTGTAGGCTACTGTAAGTTAGGACTTTTTGTAAATCAAGATTGCACCTTTTTTGATAACCAGGAAGTAAAAGAGGCTGTTTAAACATGGCTTCTAACTCAAAATAAATGTAAATCTTCTAAGTATGGTAATTAAAATTGTGGCTTTCAACATTATCTAGTCATGAGTGTGAATCGGCTTGACACGTTTTAATTTAAAAGGTTGAACAAGACAAACCCTGTTAATTTATCAAATTCACTGAAGTTACTTTATAAGTTAGCATCAAAACATAGCCATGTTTAAAAATAAACCTAACCTGTTGATATTCAGCTTAAATTAAAATACAACATTTAAAATATTTAATTTTTTTCGAGAGGATTTGCTGCCTCAAATAATTTTAGGTCTAGTGGTAGGTATAATGAAGGATAGGTTTATTGTATTATTACATTACTTTCTAATGTATTGGGGGATTTGGAGGGGGATTAATTTTCGGAAAAGAGTTTTAAAGCCTTTTTAGTGGGTTTCCCTTATTGGAAGGTGGTGTTTATTGTCGTCGGTGTAAAACGGCAGTACTTTTTTAACTTTAAGGGTTTCCAAAAGCAAATTGTATATACTATTTAAAGGAAATTTCCGTTTATTATGAACCTGTGTAAAGGATCATTTAATAAACTACCTAGACATACTCTAATGTCTTTTGTGAATGAGTAATATGCTAGAATAGAAATCAATTTCAGTACAGTAAATATAATATTTTGATTTGGCAGGTTTCATTTGTCTGTCATACTGCATTAAAATTGATTGCAGTGTAAACAAAAACTTTAAAACTAGGTATTCAGTATGCATATTGTTTTCAGATTCGAGAACAATGCAAAGACCTGCTCCTGTCAGATGAACAGTTGAGGGAGGTGATGGCTAAACTACTCGAGGCCATCAAAAAAGGACTTGGAAAAAATACTCACAAAGATGCCACTGTCAAATGCTGGACCACGTATGTGCAGGACCTTCCTAATGGCAAAGGTACGACCATTTGTGTCCATCGGAGATTTAGTTAAAAGTACCACGATTTTGTGTACAAGAAGTTATGTTTCTTTTTTTGTGTAGATGAATTCTCCATCAATAATTTTCTCTGTCGTTACAGGTATGCACAAGTAAACAAAACAATGTACATGTCTAGATTCTTTTCTTTTCATCCCTTACATTTTCAATTAAGTAGAAGGTAGAACATTTGGTATCAAATTTACCCACTAAACAAATGTGTCATTATAGCCCAGATGTGCTTTTTTGTTTGTGCAAAAGTAATTTATTTTAGATTTTAGCACTCAAGTATGTTACAGTAGCATTTGCCCCTTCAATAAAAATAATGGCTGGTTGAGTCTTTTGTTACAGTTTTTGTTTATATGTTTAACTTTTAACAGAACCCTAAAATGAAAACTATTTGAGTTCAATCACGATTTAACCATTTTTAAGCAAACACAATCAAATAACCACAAATTTTAGGGAAATGTCTTAACTAATAGTAGGTATCCTAAACTCATTCCCATAAGTTGTATAGTTTCAGTTAAGTTTTAGTACGTAGCCTAATATACTTTTACTGTACTATAATATATCAGTTTTTATTTTCCATCACTAAACAGCTACCGGTATATTTATAATATAAAAAATATATTTTCATGATCCAAGTTTGATTTTATTGTTCATCTAAGGACTTACGACATTTCACAGACTTTAGACTAACATGTATTGATGGATTTTAACAGAACGAGGCAAATTCTTGGCCCTCGATCTCGGTGGAACTAACTTCCGAGTTCTTGTGATTCATCTGGACGAAAGCCACTTTGATATGCAGTCCAAGATCTATGCTATCCCAGAGGATATTATGACTGGCTCTGGTACGAAGGTGCGTTGATTATATGTTACATAACCAAATTATAACCTTACAGCGGTAGCCGGTAATTTCCTTTGTAAGTAGAAGATTGATGCACTTCACTTTTTGTCAACAGCTGTTTGATCACATTGCTGAGTGCATGGCCAACTTCATGTCAGAGAATGACATGAAGAATGAGAGGCTGCCTCTCGGATTCACCTTCAGCTTTCCTCTGGAGCAGATTGGGCTGACAAAGGGTATCCTGAAAACCTGGACCAAGGGTTTCTCCTGCAGCGGCGTCGTGGGTGGAGACGTCGTCAAAATGCTTGAGGACGCTATCCGGCGGAGAGGTGTGAGTAGCTCTTTAACTCATTCTCATCCACGTCATTGGTCATGACTTTACCTGATGTGATAGTTATAGCGAATAACCACATAGTTGACAAAATTATATGTTTTGCTAAGTACTTATTGCAACTTCCTGCAACTTACCTACCTGATGTAACCTTTTTATTTAAGGTTACAGAAATTGTAACCTTTGGCTAAACATGTTGCCAATTTATATCTCTTTATGGTTAGTATATAGTTAAATGTAGTAGGTAATAAGGGATTGATCCAGAAAAGGTCTGTAAGCTTGTGGAAGGTTTGAACCTGAGAGTAGTTTTAAAAACATCTTATGATCATGGATTTTGTATAAATAAATTGTCATTACCTTACAGTAAATCACAAAATAATAGTGACAAAATCATTGCAATTCAGCCCAAAACATTAGTAAAACAGTACCACACATTAGTCTAAATGAATACTTATAAATGTCTAAATATGCTTGGGTTAGATATTAAAACTCTATGTTCCATCTTGATTTTGCTCACTCTGTAGTTGATTTTTGTTGCTTTATAATTTAATCTAAACACTTTTGTTATTAGGATATTGAGATAGAAGTTTGCGGAATCCTCAACGACACCACAGGAACATTGATGTCCTGTGCCTGGAAAAACCAAAACTGCCGTGTAGGAGTCATAGTAGGTGAGTTTGATATTTGGCGTTAGTAAAATCATATTCCAATTCATGTTAACATGCAATAACCTCTGGGAATTACTGTTCCTGTGTCAATTGGTTGTATATCTACCAAAAGAATTTGTCATCAAAAGAGCCCTGCTGGTAAAGATAGGTTTGTCCATAAATTATAATGCAAAGAGCTAAGTTGCTTCTGAGTGAGCTAGTTAAAACCTCACACCATTGCCGCACATTCTGTACTCCTACTCCAGAAGGGATCTATGCAACAATTATTCTCGTAGTAGTAGCCGAAAACAGTATCGGAAAAGATTTAATGAATCACTTTCTGGGAGTAAGCAACCAATATTGAAACCACTCCCAGTTGTTGGACTGTTTAAGTGAAAACGCACAAAAGTTTTCCATCGAGGCAATGCTTAAAATTTATTTGCAGATTAACTACCACCAGGGTTTACTGTTCCTTAGTAGTCTTAGAGACGTCACCTATAAGTTCAGTCACACTGCGATCCGCATGAAAAATTTCCTTAAGTTTGGAGTCTGTTACTGTACCAACAAGTAACAAGAGGTAGCAAATCTGCCGTGTTAAAGTTGTCTGTATAACAGATCGTTGCCGCCGCGTGTTATCTGGTAGTTCACCGGTCCAGACACAAAATTTACGCTCATGCTAACTTTACATAGTCTAACGCGACAGATAAAACACTTGTATAACTTGCTCAAAGGGTAGTCCATTGCCCGGTAGGCTTGACGTATGCAAACGAAAAACTGGAAAAAGCTGCCGCGACAAAGCTAAAAAGCTGCCTGTACATCAAGGGCCTTACACTGAGAGAGCGGAGAATGTGGAACTGTACTCGGGAGACAAGAGCAAACCTCTGATAGTCGTCAACACTGAGTGGGGCGCCTTTGGGGAGGAGGGAGAGCTGCACTTTATGTTGACTGACTGATAGTTGGGTTATTTTTTTGTAGGAACTGGCTGCAACGCATGTTACACTGAGAGAGTGGAGAATGTCAAACTGTACTCGGGAGACAAGAGCAAACCTCTGATGGTCGTCAAATCTGAGCCATTGGGGAGAAGGGAGAGCTGCACATTGTGTTGACTGATAGTTGGATTTTTTTTTTAGGAACTGGCTGCAATGCATGTTACACTGAGAAAGTGGAGAATGTAGAACTGTATTCGGGAGACAAGAGCAAACCTCTGATGGTTGTCAACACTGAGTGGGGCGCATTTGGGGAGAAGGGAGAGCTGGACTTTATGTTGACAGAGTTTGACAAAGAAATGGATCAGGCATCAATAAACCCTGGCAAACAGATGTAAGTACAGAACCTTTCCAAACAGTCTTAAAACTGCATTTGCTCTCGCTTATTGATTTATGATCGTTACGTAATTTATTTATTTTATAGATAAAACTCCGCTTACCCGAGGTAATTGGTACCAAATGCATCTCGGATACGTAAAAACTCGGTTAACACGGAATGTGTTGAAAATATTTAAGGTTAGGTTAGAAATAGGTTAGTAATGATAAAATATTGTAAAAGAAACACTTACATTACTTTATTCATAAAATCATATGAAGTTTAAAATTTGTCAGAAAAATAAAACTTATTTTGGTGAAAAGAAATAAAAAATTGTGTTCTGGCGGAGTTTAGCTCCTCTTTTCATGGCTGCGATGTTCCGCCATTGTTGCAGGCAGAGTACTTCTGAGGGTGTGGCCTCATGCTGCTGCTCCATGTAAGACAGTGCCTTCTCGAATGCTTTCAGTCCGTCATTGTGATATGCATTCACCTTCGGGTGATTTGTCGTAACTAACATCATTTTGATATCCCTCACACGCATCAAGTCTCATGTTTACCCAGTCCAACACATCTTCTTGAGTTACTGGCTCACTTATAGGTAAAACATTTGTTAGTGTAATAAGCTCACTGACATCAGTTTCGTCAGTTTTTGGTCCATTGTTAGATGGACGTTTTTCTGTTAATTTTTGGATCCCAAATGCTTCCTCCATGATTCCCTGACTGTGCTATTTGCCATATTGTCCCATGCTTCGGCAACCCAGTAAGAAACAATCTTTATGGTTGCAAAAAATTGCCTTAATGTCTCCACTTACCAGATTGTCAGAGTCAGGGTGTGAGCGTCCAATTCAATTTCAAACTTCCAGATGCATTGTAACTCCTCAAAACAGTAATCCTATCCTCTCCTTATTTTTTATATCTATAGGTATTTTCTGCTCATCCCTAGCTGCTAAAGTTTTAATGGTAACATTCGATAATTTAGGCCTGTTTCGTCGCAATTAAATATCTGTTCTGAGGTAAGACCATGTTAAAATATCAGAGTTTCCAATTTTTATTAAAACTGTAACGTCATTAGAATTTGCCAAAAATTTTTCTCCGCTAATATCTACAGGGTGTCCACATTCTGGAAAGTCAGGGATAGTCATGGAAAGTCATGGAAATCCCCAATGATGGATGGATTTCAGGGGACCTTTCAATGCTCTAGTCGGCCGTAACCGTGACTATTGTAGCATTTTTCTGAATTTTTCACAAATGTACGACAATTTCAATTTATACAGTTGTCTTAGTTTGTGGGTTTTGAGTTTGTGTTAGTTCATTGTTGTACCTATCCATTGTTATCTGTTAATACATATTTCAATATTTTCTGTGAAATAACTTGTCTAGGCAGTATTATTCGTGTGTGTACGGTATATTATAACTTTTGAGATAAGTTTGTGAGTCATGGAAATCAATGGTTAATGGTCATGGAAAGTCAGGGAAATTGATGACAAAATTTCTGTGGACACCCTGATCTAACTGTCTTATTCCAAACCTCTTCTTCAATCGGTCTAGCCACCCTGTGTTAGCAGTAAAAGGTTCATCGCCATCTTTGAACTGTTTTTGAAACACAATTGCTCTGGCTTAGATGATTGGTCCACTTAATGAACTACCCAGTGACCTCGTTTGGGAGAACCAAAGCCTCAGATGTCTTTTCATAGTCACATTTTTTCATAGTTTTCTTCTTGAAATGTTGTCAAAACTGCTGCTCTGAGAAGCCCAACCTTCAATTTTAGATCTTTTACAACGCCAGTCTCTCAAGGTCACTTTACCAACACCTAGTTCCTTAGCCTTTTTCTTAATAGACTCTCCTTTGTCAAGCCGTTTAATTGCGTTTGATTTAGTTTCAATTGAAACAACAGTATGTTTCCGTTTACCTCGCATCATGTGCTTAGAAATAGCACAACACACTTCACAACGTACCAGTACCTTTAGCAGCACTCACTAAAGTATTGACAACTAAGCAAAACCAACTACAAATTGGCAGGCAGCAAACCACAAGTGCACTCGACTTCGGCTGAACACACGACGTTTGCCGCTCGCTTCCGACGACTGCCAGTTGCTCCCGACTTCTTCCGACTTTTACTGAATCTGTGAATGAACCTCCGATTTGATGAAATTTTAAAATTTTAATTTTCATGATGTGCCTCTGTTAACTTGGAGGCTTGGATAACCAGGACTCTACTGTAATATATTTTACCTTAATATTTATCTAAATCAACTCGTTGAACAATGTTTTAACCACATGGTTGTTTGTTTCAGTTTTGAGAAAATGATTTCCGGAATGTACATGGGTGAGCTTGTGAGGCTCATACTCCTCAAGTTGACTAAGGACAACATTCTGTTTGGTGGAAAACCTTCTGAAGCTCTGCTCACCAAATGGCGGTTCAAGACCAAATATGTATCAGAAATTGAGAGGTTAGTGACAGAACTGAGTGACCAATTAATGATGCTTTCTAACAAAACCTCGACTTTAGATAGTAAATAATACCTGGGCTCAGACCGATCCCTTACAAAAAAAATAAAAAAGGTCAATAGCGTAGATAATATACATAAAATACAAAAAATAAATTATCCTGGCTAAAGAATTAGCTGAACTTAGTCAGTTACAAAATCCATTCAACACTCATCCTTGACTCGCCATCTTTGTCTTTAAATACAGTAAAACCTCTACTAACTGTCACCCTTGGGACTGGGAGCGTGACGGTTAGGCGAATAGACGGATAAAAGAAATACTGTTATAAACCTGTACAAGTGAATAATACGTTTATTTATATAGCCTATAAATTATTTTCATTGAAGAGGAATACAGTAGGGCCTACTGTTATTTTGTATGAAGTACTTGTTCAATGTCCGTACAGTGAAATAAATCATATTTAAAAATAATCTAAGTACTGTAGCAGGGTGACGGACAACAGAGGTTCTACTATACACACCTAGATCTGTCTGCAGAGTATAAACATAATCTGATCTATTGGTCGTAGTGAGAAGAAGGGCGTCCACACAGCATGTCGCACAGTGCTACAGAAGCTAAGTCTGACACACGCGTCTGACCAAGACTGTATCAACATACGGTACGTGTGTGAATGTGTGTCTCGTCGTGCGGCGCACCTTGTCTCTGCCGGGGTGGCGACACTGCTCAACAGGATGAACATCCCATCAGTCACAGTCGGGGTGGACGGCTCCGTCTACCGCTTCCACCCTTTCTTTCATGATCTCATGATGGAAAAGATTGCACAATTAGTCAACAAAAACCTCAAGGTTGGTGTTTCTTTTTGGATTCACAAATATTGAGGGATAAGCTTAGTAATGATTGTATTTGATTTTTCAGCTGCTGGAAAGTTTTAGTGAAGTACTTGATTTGTGGTTATTTACATAATAAAAGGTGGTCAGTAGCTGTGTGTCCCAAATAAAAAATTACACAATTAGAATTGACAATCTGAAGGAAATATTATACAGGGTGAGTTTTAAATGAGTTCCCCCCTACTTTTTCTACATTTCTTAAGATATCAACTCTGGACCACATCAGATCATTGTAGAGTAGAAAGTACTTCATTTTGACTGGGTATACATTTTTGGCCGCCATCATGGACCACCATATTGGATACAAAAAATTATTTTCAAATGTAATGGTGGGATTGATTGTGACCCATCGTTTCAAACTATATTTTCACGCTGAATACAATGGTGCAATCCGTTTTTCAAAATCATAATCGGTTAAAAAGTTATTAGGAATTTTGGAAAATAATTTTTGTATACATTTTACTGGCAGTCGATTAGACCTTACAATAATCAGAGTCTTAACTCTTAAACCTATTTTCCAAAAAGATGACATATTAACAATGCCTTCTATATACTGTATATATTTAAAATGTTGGTTTATTTAAAAAGTAACTACCAATCATACGACAACAATCAATTCATCCATCAATATCCTACTCGTTTTAAAAATAATTTGAAATTTCCAAGGCATAGCCTCTGTCTGTAAGAAAGATCACCATTATATATGAGTCTCAGGCTTTACAACAATCTACCTACCAAATTCAGAGAAATAACCAAAATTTAAAAACGAGTTTAAAATGTATGACAAATAATGGCTAAACATACCTCGTCAGACAATCCTTAACATGTAGTGTTAAAATTGCTACATATGTTTCGGCGGTTATTTAAACAGACTCTGCTTCCTGCCATGTCCATGGCAGTGCGTGTAGTTGATAGGCCTATCATTTTAGTTTATGTTTTAAGTGTAAAATGTGTGTTTTATTTATTTATTCTGATGACACATCAAGTGGATCCTTTTTGTTTGCCTGACGATGGCAGAGATGTTTAAAAATCCGCCGAAACATATGTAGCAATTTCGACACTACATGTTAAGGATTGTCTGACGAGGTATGTTTAACCATTATTTGTCATATTAACGCAGTCCTGGGGCTATGAAAATGAATTTTAAAATGTATCTCTTAGAAAAAGAGTTTGACTCTATTTCTGAACATTTAACAGTCAAATATTTTTCTATTACATTTATTTAGTTTATAGGGGCATATTTTAACATAAGGTTATAAACAATCTGGTTCAAAAATTAATTTTTGAAAATTTGTTATAACTTTCCAACAGATCAATATTTTGGAAACGGATTGCAGCATTGTATTCAGCATAAAATTCTAGTTTGAAATTATGGGTCACAACACTACATTTACATTTGAAAAAAAAACTTTCTATCCAATATGGTGGCCAAAACTTTACACCCAGTCAAAATGAAGTACTTACTAATGATATGACGTGGTCCGAAGTTGATATCTTAAGAAATGTAGAAAAAAGTGGGGGGGGGGAACTCATTTAGAACTCATTTAGAACTCGCCCTGTATATATTTAAGCAAGTTTTAAAAAATCCATAACTTTTAAATCGATAACAATATCGTGTGACATCAATCAAAAATGTTTAGATTTAACAATTCTAAAAATTGATGGAAAAGCTTATATATATAAATTGTTTGAGACCAGGTAGCAGTGCAAGATAAAACTATAGTAGCTCACTGCATCTCTAATCCCATCAATCAGTCTATTAAAACTTTGTCAATAGGCAAGTTACGTCAGCATTGATTAAATTTTTCAAATTTTAACTTGAAAAATGTTTTGTTTTTAAATGTATACAAGTTAACTAACTAATATTTGGTGGCACTACATTTTAAACTTACATCAACTGCTGAGTGCTTTCAAAAAACACAACGCATTATTTAAAATAGCCCACTTAATTTTAGCTTTTTACTTTCAAAACTTATGAATTAATTATGAGCTTTCAATCTGTGAAGATTTGGTTTGTCACATTGACACATTGGTTAGTGACTGTGTTGCAGTGTTCAGTAATGCTGTCTCAGGATGGTAGTGGCCTGGGTGGAGCGATCGTAGCAGCAACAGTAAAGTGTAAAGTACAAAACCATCGGTGAGACTCCTGCTATCGCAACTGCAGAGGTTCATGCTTCTTCTTTGTAATGGACACCCAAATGCTGGATGACATTGTTCATTTGTTCGGATCTTAATTCTTCTGTGGCCTAAAGGGTTTCCACTGAGGTTCAGCTTGTTTGATGGATTTGAATTCGGGCCAAGGTATTTTCAATTCAGTTTCACTGTCTTCTTCACTGGGATGTCTTGAATTCGTCTCTTGTGAACAAGATTCATTCAAATGCATTCACTCATCATCTGAATGTGGTTTACGGGTGTGTTTGAGCCTTGTGGGATCTCAAGAGATGAGGGTTTGTGTTTTCCAGGGTTCTCTGTTGTTGTCCAAAAATGACAGTGGTCGAGAGGATGCATCAGTTGCTGCAGTTTCAACTGTGTTCACTTATCATCTGAATGTGGTATAAGGGTGTGTTTGAGCCTTGTGGGATCTCAAGAGATGAAGGTTTGTGTTTTCCAGTGTTCCTTGATGTTGTCCGAGGATGGCAGTGGTCGAGAGGATGCATCAGTTGCTGCAGTTTCAGCTGTGTTCGCTTATCATCTGAATGTGGCATATGGGTGTGTTTGAGCCTTGTGGGATCTCAAGAGATGAAGGTTTGTGTTTTTCAGTGTTCTCTGTTGTTGTCCAAGAATGACAGTGGTCGAGAGGATGCATCAGTTGCTGCAGTTTCAGCTGTGTTCACTTATCATCTGAATGTGGCATATGGGTGTGTTTGAGCCTTGTGGGATCCCAAGAGATGAAGGTTTGTGTTTTCCAGTGTTCCTTGATGTTGTCCGAGGATGGCAGTGGACGAGGGGCTGCATTAGTCGCTGCAGTTGCAGTGCGTTGTCGGTGAGATGAGATTTCATTACCTCAGACTTCCCTGCTTTTTTGCAGCATCTCTCAAGAGATGTGTGGAGCAATGGCTTCATCAACTAATACTCTAACAGCCAAGCATGATTGGGTTTTGCGTGGTTTTATGCTAAAACTGTATAGCCAATTTGGAAAAGTGGAATAGTTATAATTTGTTTAGCATAAAGTGTTATAATATTTCAGAAGGTATATCACTCAGGTTAAATTGAGGAACCTCAACATGTTAAATGTCTGCTGACAACCTTATTGTGACCGACAATGTAGACTTGAAGGTACACGAAAACACTAACCAATGCTGCACTACGGCTTGTCAGCTATACCCCCACTACTGATATGCCATCCCCAGGAGTCACACTAACTACTGCAAGGCTAATTTACCAGTGACAATCACGCTAAATGTCTACAAAAATTCATCCCGGGAACTTTTTGACTGTTATAATTATAATGGATAAAAGCATGTTTAACCCTTATTAGCAATAGAATGCATTTGACTTGGTTAATATGGGTGCAGTAGTCTATGATTAATCCATCAGCTATGAGGTTTGGAAGTGCATGTTTTGGTTTTATATAAAGATAAGGATAAAATAAAAACTTTGGGTTTAAATAAGTTTCTATCCTTTTGTTTGCCTCGGTTGCCGGTTTGGTACGGGTCTGTTCCCCTCTCTCTCATAAAGTTTCATACGTCATATAGCCTTGCAACTTCTAAAATCACGAGAAGTAAGGTACAGATGAAACATTCAATGGTAATCTCAAGTGGTGTCTAGCACTAGTCGCTGGTGTCTAAGACATAGTCCAACACCACCCCTCTTGTCCTCATGCACTACAACGTTCACGGTGGGTCTTCCCCTGTGCCATAGGAATTTCCTGGCATAGTGCCTGCCACCCGGGTTCTTCCTTGATCGTCACAAGTGTATTTTCCACAACATGCTATATCTAAAAGCGCACGGTCGTCTCATAAGCAAGTTTCCTCTGTGGTAAAGTGAATACCACTAGAATGTTTAATAAATAAGGTGTACATTTTGAGAAGGGAAATGCAAAATTTTTAAAAGGAAGGTTTTATACTTTTGCTTGAAAATTTACATCACCCCTTCTACTTATTCTGTTGAAAAAGGTTGTACAATTGTCAGTGATTGTACTACAGTATTTTTTTGTATTGTGGCTAAACTTTCAAGATCAGAGTTCTCAATTCTGGGCTGCCTCATTAACTGTGTAAATTTTTCATTAACTTCTTAAGAAATCCATTGTTAAACAGCTTATTGGTAGTACTCCTAATCATACAATCATTACAGTCTTTATAGTTTGTGGAATGAAGAAGGCCAAGTCCCCTTGCATGCTGGAACACCCACATGCAGAATATTTTATACTGTGTTCTTACTATAAATATGATCTACCCGTATACCTGTGAACTTTTTTTTAATGAGTTAAAAATGATACTGTTTAAAATGTTCACTTATAATCCATTTTTATGGCACAGAATACAAATCAAATACAGTACTACATGCTGTTATATTTAGTTTGAGTAACATTATTTTCCTCATAAATACATCCACTATCGTACAACTTGTATGTTGATTGTTAATTTTCTTTTGGTACGAAGATCTGTCTATTAATGTTACCTAACTTAAGGACAAATGCTTTTATCCTCATACTTTTGTTAGGACAATTGTGCTGCTCCTTTTTTGATAATTGTTTGAATCATACTGTATTTCAATAAGGTAAAAATAATTAATTTGCAATTATGATTTAGCCATTTACAGTGATGGGGAGTGTTGTTTTGGGCACATTCACATAATTTGAATTCAATTTCAAATGTTATGACTGATTTGTTTGTTACAGTTCGACCTAATGCTGTCTGAGGATGGTAGTGGGCGAGGTGCTGCATTGGTTGCAGCCGTCGCTTGTCGTGAACGGTGAGAATCATACAACAGTATTGTCGACGTCAGCGTAGACTACATATTGTTGGGCTGTTAATTGTTGGTTTTTAATACTTTTCTCGGGATCATTTTAGTCAGCATTACTTAATTTAATTGTACTTAATATTTATGTTGCTTCTTATTTAAATCATAATTTATTAGTCCTTAAAGTTTTCAAAATTTGGAAAAAGAACAATATGTAAGATAACAATATGTATGTTAAAGAAAGTGAAATTTCTTCTCTTAGGAAGGTAAAACCATCTCTTTATATTGGATGACAATATGTTAGCAGTCTGAAAATAACCGTTGATGTTCATGACTGTACAAATTTAGTCTATGCCTGTTAAATACTTCTTTCTCCGAGTGATGGGTAAACTAAACACACAACTGCCATGTTACATAGTTGATCTCTAAACATTCCAAATTTTCTTTCTTTTTCCCTCTATTACATTTATTTATTTTTGATTTGTCATTGTAATGTGTGGTTCAATGTATCAATAGAAAAGCTATTCCTTCCACAGCAATAAGTCATATCAAATATTTATTTTGAAGCATATAAGTTAATAGTGATCTTTTATTCACAAATTTATCTTTTATTCTAAAAATTAGGGCCCAAACAAGCTTTTAATTTTAATACATATTTTTTAGCCTCGGTCTTTACTGGAGTAATTGGGAAGAGAATATGGCTTGTGTGTTCAAAATCAAGATACCGAAATGAAAGACCGGTGATTTTTATAATACTATTTTATTGTACCTTATACACTTTTTATTGATTAAACCTTTCTAGTTTCTAGAGTTTTGATATTATTGTAAGCTATTTTCCTATGCCTAGTGTGATTGTAATTTATAGATCATTATTTTAATAATATTGTATAGTATATTTGAGATTATTGTTGATTGATCAAACAGTATTTTGTTATAAATAGTTGTTGCCATTTGTAAAGGTACGTGTTCCTTTTGTTAGGAGGAACGTGGTAAATAATAAAATGTATTGTCAAGTTAGTTTGTTGTTTTTATTTTTACTGGTTCACATCTATCTACTTATACAGACTGTCCCAAAAGTCCCGGACCGGTTTAATATTTTCTAAACGACAACAGATAAATCAATAAGATTTTGCACATCAACACCACACTTAAAAACCTACTGTTTTTTTAAGGAACTATCAATTTTCTGTCATATCATGGGGACGATCCACGAGGAGTCAGAAGGAAATCTTAAAAAGGAGCATAGGTCAATATGCACATCAGTTTAAAGGGTTTAGCTAGCAGAGTTCAATGCCGGAAACCGCGCCTCGAAAGGATCACCCGTTACAAAATGGCGGCCGTTCAAAGATTTCTTGAACCTGCCATTTTGAATATTTGAACGACTGCCATTTTTTACTCAGGCGTTCTTTTGAGCTAGAATTTACGGCATTGTAATCTACTAGTGAAGACCTTTAATTTGATGTGCATATCGACCTATGCTTACGTTAAAAATGTTTTTCCGATTCTTAGGGCTGTGCCCCCATATGCAAATTAAATGAATCTTTGAACCACTGTCATTCTTGACTTGGTTGTCTGTTTGAGTTCAAATTTCCAGCATTATATTCTGCTAGCAAATACCTTTAATTTGATGTACATGTCAACCTATGCTTCTGTTTAAGATTTCCTTCTGACTCCTTGCGGGACGTCCCCATGATGTGACAGAAAATTTATATTTCCATAAAAAAGAAGATTTTTAGGTGTGATGTTGATGTACCAAATCTTATTGATTTATCTGTTGTCGTTTAGAAAATATTAAACCGGTCCGGGACTTTTGGGACAGTCTGTATAATAATATATATATTATAATAAAACAAAAAGAGGAACTATGTATGTATGTGTGTATATATGTATATACGTTATGGACTCCGAAACCGCTCGACAGATTGTAATGAAACTTTCAGGCATTATTAAGCATCTTTCAAGGATGGTTTGAGTAAAGTTTGGTGCATATCCATCAAAAGGGCTCTGCCCCAGGGGGTTTTAAGTGGGCCAATGTCAGACTTTTTGATATACAATGTTTACAAATAAATATAATTTAAAAGCAGATGTTTACTTTCACCAACTGTTTTCATTTCATTTCATTTATTTCCCACGGTTAAACCAATTTTACAAATTTGTCTACATCAGATGATAATACAATAACAATAACAATAATAAACAATAACAATAACAAGAATAACAATTTACAATTCTAAAATGCATAGCAAAACAACCATAACAATATAATATTCAATGCAGTAGCAACAAATATAAATAGAAAATTGGAAATTATATAACAATAACATGACTGTATCCGCACTTGTAACTTTTGGTTGTGAATCAATCATTATTTACAAGTATTTACAGGTAATTTACAAGTTTAATAAGCAAGCACTACAAAAAAACATTGATAATTATTCAATACAATAGCAACAGATAATAAAGAGGATACTCAAAGATAACATAATTATTTACAGCATTATATTACATGATTAAAAATACAGTAGCAGAACAGATGGCACCAATAATAAGTAGGAGAAGTGTGTTTGGAGGAAAAGTGAGGAGACCATGCCCTCACAGACACTGGTGTAGCCCTTTAACGCAGCTACCAAAAGATAACAAACACACTACATTATATTGAAAGAAAACTATAAAAAGTGAGGAGACCATGCCCCCACTAAAAAAAAACACAAACACTTAGATGTGGCCCTTTAACGCAGCCACCAAACACCCAGCACTACACAGAAGCTCAATTCCACCACTAACGGACCCAGCCACTTCGTACTGTACTTGAAGAAGACTTTCCATCTATCACTGCTCCAAGTAGAGGACTGAGCGTCTAAACGTACCCAAGGAGTCCGAGAAGAAATCCACCAGATTGCAGACCTCGTTACCAGCTCTCAGCATTCTAGGAATAGGACTATGACGAAGGTAGTTAGTGCTTCTGAGTTTTAGCTCAAAAAGGCATTGTGCTCTGGTAGGTGAAGGGGTCCTGAAGTTTACCAGATGAAGTAGGTAGGGGCAATCAGTAACTCCATTTATGAGCTTATAGAGAAATACCAAATCAGCAATCAGGCGTCTAGAAGACAGAGACGGTAAACTTAGGTTGATTTCGAGCTCGGCAATAGGAACCTCTCTGTAGGCATAGCCATTCTTCACTCCCAGTATTCTTATGAATCTTCTCTGTATTGACTGAAGCTTATCAATTTGTCCCAGCTGATATGGAGACCATATCGAGGAAGCATATTCCAGGATCGGTCTAACTAATGACTTGTATAACAATGTCATAGTCCGGGTGTTGAGGCCGAATTTTCCCAGCCTAAAGACCAAACCCATCATCCTTGATGCTCTTAAACAAATACCATCAATGTGAGTACTGAAGTTCAGAGAGGAATCCATATACACACCAAGATCTCTCACAATATTGCACCTTTCAATGAGATCACCACCCAAGTACAGGTCCTTGGCAATTGGAGATTTTGTTCTATGAAAAGTAATGTGCTTGGACTTGGAAGGATTTATTTCCATCAGGTTTGAATCACACCAATTGGAGAGTTGGTGGAGCGAAGCCTGCAGCAAACGAAAGTCATCATCTGTTCTTATTGTCTGGTATAGCTTGACATCATCAGCAAACAATGAATATCTAACGCTCAAGTTTTTACCAATGTCGTTGATGAACAGCACAAATAAGAGTGGTCCTAGCAGTGAGCCTTGAGGAACACCTGACGTGGCAATAAAGGAAGCTGACACGTTAGAGCCATATTTTACAGCTAAAGTCCGATTCTGTAAGTAACTACCGAACCACTGCCACAGATTCCCAACAATTCCATAACCCTGCAACTTGGCAAGAAGGTAGCTATGGCTGACCTTGTCAAAGGCTTTAGCGAAATCAACGTATATAGCATCCACCTGATTTCCAACGCTAAATGCTTCCAAAATGTAGTCCTGGAAAACCAGTAAATTAGAGATTGTAGATCTGCCCAATGTAAATCCATGTTGCTCTTCCACGACCACTTGCCTAAAACAGGGCTTGATAAAATCCAGCACCAGACCTTCAAAAACTTTACCCACTGCAGATTGGATGACAATGGGTCGGTAATTCCTGACGTTAGAAGGATCGCCCGACTTTAGGATAGGTACAACATAGCTGTGTTTAAGTAATGGTGGAAAGCAGCCGCCAGATAATGAAGCATTGAATAATTTAACAAGAACAGGAGCAAGCTGACTGCTGCAATGCTTAAGAACCGCTGGTGTTATACCATCCGGCCCAGCTCCTTTAGTCGGATCAAGAGAATCCAGCTTCTTCACGACTTCATCTAGTGTTACAGTGCATTTAGATATGTTTATATTAGTCTTAAAATCAAATGTATGGGAACAGGTTGTAGGTGGTGTGTAAACTGACCTAAAATAGGTGGAAAATAACTCACATATCCTATCGGGTTCAGATTCCTCCAGATTGTCAAGCTCCATAACTCCAGGTTTAGGGTTGTCATGTTTTAGACCATTGACAAAGGACCAAAACACTTTCATATTAGATGGTATTACAGCCTCTAGGTGCTCCACATAGCCAATTCGACATGCTCTTGTCACTCTCTTGCACTGTTCACGAACACAGCTGAAGCTGTAATAGTCATGGTCACTCAAAGTTTCCTTGTATCTCCGGTGAAGCGTCTTCTTAAGGATAACCAGTTGTTTAAGATGGTTGTTGAACCAGCGAGGGAAGCAGGAAGGGAGGAGTTCCTATCCTTTTAAGAGGAGAATGCTTTTCAATGGTTTTACCTAAGGTATGTATGAAACTCTCCAACCCACTCAAATCATCTTCCAAATCCAATTGTAGATTCCCATGCGTCAATTCATTCTTGACACCTTCCAAATTGCATCTTTTCAGATCAGGTATGTAGACAACCGCATTCTTCAGCATTGCAGAGGGACATTCTAGAGTAATAGAGATGGGTGGATGTATATTCTCATAAGGCAGTAATGGGTCAGTGGAAAGGGAGACGCTGTGGTACATTGGTGTTGAACTGAAAACCAGATCCAACTGAACGCCCCTGTTGTTCGTTACGTGGCTAATTTGCTGCAACTCCAACAATGATGACAGTTCCCGGAGGACTCTTTCACTTGCAATCAAGTTCACAGGATCATCATGGGTCCATTTGCAGCCAGGAAGATTAAAATCGCCAACAATGATAATAGAGGCAAACTCACCACATCTTGACGTAATATCAACAACAGCATCAGCAAAAAGGGAATAATAGGGAGTAGACTGATTTGGAGGTATATAGGCAGCACATAGCGACAATCTACGAGTGCCAGCACCTATAGTTACAAATAAAGCTTCAAGATTATCATAAGCAGGGTTGCAGACTTCTGTAGATAATATGCTATTTCGAACTGCCAATAAGACACCTCCACCCGAGGTTTTATTACTAGTTTCCAAGGACCTATCCTTTCTGTAAACAGTATAGTTGTGAAAGCCCAACTCAGAAGTGCTAATAGAAGAGTTCAAATTGGTCTCTGTAAGAACAACTATATCATACGTGGTAATAGAAGCTGCTTCAAACAGTAAATCCATCTTGGTCCGGAGGCCATTGACATTCTGGTATAACAAAGTGGTTTTAGGTTGACCGTGGGAAATTAAGCGTTTTTTGAAATAACAATTTTGGGTGTGCCATTGACATATTTAATAGTAAGATCAGATTCACCCGCCCCAGTACGTTCCTCCAGCTTCTTCTTCAAATGATCCAAATACTCCAACTCACGCTTGGTTTTGTCCCGTGCTAACTTCACTCCAGCAAAGGCTGGATCCAAATTATCAAGGAACTCACGAGAAGCAATCTTAAGTAACTCAACCACTCTTGCCTCTGAATCAAGAATGAGCTTAATAGGCCTACTTTTGTTGGCTGCTTCCTTTCCGATACGAAAAAACTTTAATTTAGAAACATCAAACATCTGGTAAAACAGTACCCACTAGTTTGTGTATATGAGTACTATCATCC